GAGCCACGGAGCACTCCCAAGTCCCGGGTCATGTCGACGACGCGCTTATCAGGAGCCGTTTTGTTACTGTGCGGATCAGGATCACGTGTCTGAGGTCGACCTTGGTCGCTTTGCGCCGGTTCGGCTTGAAGAGGCGTGTGTCGGGATGGTCGTTTACGCACTCGGCGAAGTATTCGTCTTCTGAAGCTAAGGTTTCCCATCGTATGGCAGCACACAGGAGCGCTAATGGGCATTGAAAGACTCCCGGAAGCCTCTCAAGACCATGCAGCGGGTGATCTCTGCGTTATAAGCAATCAGTTTCATCAATTGTCCCTAAAAAGCCGCGTCCGAGCTGTAAGAGGATATTCAAGCTACATTTTGGATGCCCTGTTTTGTTTGCTCCGGGGGGCTCCCGCCTTGGCCGCGGCCGGATTTGGAAGAACAGAACGTATCAAAGTCAAAACTCTCCTGAGTAGAGAGGTGTGCCCCGTCTGCTCCGATATGGTCCACGGTGAAGTGTAACGGCACACCTAAGCCGCTGAGCCGATATTTTAGCAAAGACTTTTACCCAGAACAGCGATCAATGGCTCGAAATGGCCCCACATCTTGACAAAACAAGAGTTTACATTCAATCTCCGGAGTATCCGCGTGTCCGTAACTACTTGTGGCTACACGTGCATAAGCACAAGAGAGCGAGAGCGAGAGCGAGCATGTGTTTTCCTCCTTTTATTATACTAATCCTATAGGGTGGCTAGTCTTGCGTCCTTTTGTCCCCAAAAGCGACCCCGTTCCCCCGGCCCAATCATCGCCTCCCACCCTCCTTTCCTACGACAAGGACCCAACCACACTTAGCCCGATATGACCTATCACCTGCTGTGAACAACAGCCTCTTTCTTCCTGCTAGCCGCTCCGAGACGGTCCGCGCGAGCGATGGCTACCCCCCACCCCAGCGCGCACCGGCACTCGACGACCCCATCCTCCACCCTCAGGAGATTGCCGAATCGCTAGCTGAGGCTCACTTCCCTCACGCAAGAATCTACGTGGAATTGCCGCCAAGCTATGCCGCAATGAGCTAGCGTGTTGTAATGCCTGGCTGTTGGGAAATGTCGAGGACGTGGCGGAAGTCAACGCCCGTACGGGAAAGTTAGGCACCGGGCGAACCGTACAACACCCCATCATTCTCGCTGCGAATTTGACAGGGGGTCTCGCAGGATATTAAGATACGGCTTAGTTGGCAGTTGAGTGAGGGCTCCCCCACGGGCCAGGCCACCCATGACCGGGGATCTAGCTAGGGTTGTCTTGCAGTGTGGCGGTCACCGTGGAAGACTGGAGTTGAGAGGTTGTGGTGGCTCCGCCATAGCAATACATATTTGCCTGGGGGCTCCCGCTTCGGGCCAGGCCATCCGTGATCGAAGACTTGCCGTGCGGCTCCCACACGTCACCCGAGCTGCTTAACATCAAAAGCTGGAGTGGCTGCATTCTGTCCCTGCCGATCAGACTACTCTGAGCCTGGTGAGAGCTTCCCAATCGCAGGGGTCACGTAGAATGCGCCCGCTTGGCCCATCATATACGGATGCACCCATCTGAGCTAGAGCCGCGTGATAGAGGCCTGGAGCAGCCCGGAATGCGTTAGATATCGAATTGGGGCTCGATTTCAATCATTCTAGATACTTTTTCCATCCACATATTACGTATTTATAAGTAACTTCTTTGTACAACCGCGTATCAATCCCGTCTGGACTGCCGGTACCAGGTGTAATAGTTAGATAAGCTAACCTGTGGATGTGACGGGCAACGGCAGCTCGCTCGCAGGTCAAGCGTTGCATACTAAACCTGCCAAAGATATCAAAGGCCACAGTAGAGGTCAAGACAGCATATGACAAATGCGTCTCCAATGGTCATGAGAATGGAGCGTTCGCCTCCTGATCACCCCGCGGCCGACGTATGATCTGTAAACTAATCACTGGCTTCCATTGCCCCATACGTAATTCAGCTTTCCTAGACCAAGGGGCGCACCCCTTCTTATCCTCTCCGATGTTGGTTAGCACAGAGTTTAATAGCTGAGGTCCTCTCTTTTGTATGTTGTTGTAGCCGGAAGCAGACTATGATTACTGACCCAGTGTGGTCATGAAGCTCGGCGGCCCGCGCCTGACGACGATGAAGACTTTCCGCCTCAACAGCCCCTGGAGCCAGCGGCCACTTCCATACCTGATCCCTCGGCGGTACGGAACATGGACTCGGCCGAACTCGCTTTGGCTATCGATTGTAGAAATGTAGTCCTGGAGAATGAAAAACATGCTGTTGCATGGAGTATCGGCCGCAAATAGACGACATGGCCCAATGTCCATCTGCATCCCTTCGAAAACGTCACGTGTCGCGTTTACGTGTTTGCCTCCTTTCCAGCACGACATCAACTGTCCGAGGAGACTGGGACCGGGAATGACGTAGTGGATTCGCATCGATCGTTCATCCACAAAAGTCCTCATTGCTTTGTAATGAAAGGAGCCCGTGCAAGCGCTCTCGCTTGTACACCCCAAACTTCTCTTCCCAGTCTGATAAGTTCTGGGCCGAACTCCCGGAGCACCTCCGCTACACTCTGTTCCCCCTTGCGAAGCTCTTCCCAGTACTCCTCGTCATTGCCAAATGTTGCGGATCTCTAAATCGTCTTCCATCTCTCGATCGCCAAGACCGCCTCCGATTGCTGGCTCTGCACATCACTCGCAACCAAGTAGAAAGACGAGCGCTTGGCATGCCCAGCCTCCGGCTTGAACAGCCTTACTGAAGAGAACTTGGTAAATTTGTACACAAGAGACAGAGTGTCCCAAGCCTCGAGCTTGTGTAGGAGTACTAACATGGTTCCGCCCGGCCTAACGTGCTGAAGGCCTAGCGCCAGCTGCACGATTGTCAATCTGCGGGCCTCTCGCTTTTCCCGGTAAGCAGCCCGACTCGGAGCATTTGTCCGGAGAACTTGGCCGTCGCACATGACGAGATCGAAGAGTCGGTTCGGATCGAATTGTCGAGGAAAGAACTTCCCTGCGTCGACATGGTCTTGAGGGATCTCTGATGCGCCCATATCGGCAGCGAGCATTGTGATATCGAGAAACCTTAGCTCCACATCCGGGTGACGGGGGAGAAGAGCTTTGTGTCCCCCTTCGGATTGAGGCAAACTGAAACCTAGAGATCGGGCTCCCGGGTTGAAACTCAGCGCTGTCGCTAAAAAGCCACCAGGTGCCATGCACATGTCCAGAATCTCCGGCAGTCCCGGGGAAGTTGTTGCGATGTCAAAAGCATTGGTGGCAGACTGGAGTTCCAGGCCAATTCTTTTCATGAGAGCATAGAAGTATGAGGCCGTATTCGCGTCGGTTTGATCTGCATTCTTGCGTTGTCTTTGGAAGAACTTGTCCTCCTGGGGATTACTCCAACCCTATTGCAGTTGTCTTCAGAACCGTTGAACGTCTGGAGATATCCGTTCCCGTGGAAACTAACCTGGCGTCGAAGATCTGTCAATTCTCGGAATTCTGGGACTCTTTCCATTAAGTAGGGGTTAATGATGTTATGGGCTTGTTGCCATCCTCGGCCGTCAGAGCATGAGGGTTGGTCGTCAGCGTTACCCTGGTCGTCGTTAACCATGGCGAGTAGTCGGAAAGCCCGAAGAAGTCCAAATCTCTCTCGTCAGTAAGATTAAGTCTTTGAAGTCTTTAGGGATTCGATGCTTGGCAGGGTAAAGACACTTGGGCGAAGAAGATCTGAGCGGAACAACCGCGCCATACCTTAGGACGCTGTTCCCTACACACCAGGTAGTGTTTCTGATAGGTCTCCCTGAAATAGCACATCACTCTGTCACGGGTCGGTACATCCCCTCCTCAATTCAAGATCCAGCACTATTCATGCGTTGCCAGCACATTCCGCATGGAATCCGTCCAGCCCGACGCGCTCTTGCAGACGAGATTTGAGCAGCGGGCCGAGCGTCAGCTGGAGGTGTGCCTCCTAAAAGGGTCTGAGTGGGTAAGCCACCACACTCCTCTGCAAATGACCAAATGGGCTACGTCCCGTGATACCTGCAGCCGACCGATCACTGCCTGTCCTCACGTAGGTAGGACACCATCACCGTTCTGCCTTGCTTGTCTGCTTCTCAAGGCAAAGCTACTCTTCCACTCAATTTGGATTTTTCGAACTTGAGACAATTAAATCTTTTACAACCAGCTATTCTGGGCCATATCTAGACCCGTATCTTGATCAATTGCCACACCAAACTAGGCGGAGACAAGTCCAAGACTACAAGTTGACCGTCAAAATGAGAAACAGCAATCAGGAAGGCACGCTATCTCAGCTTGACGTACTTAAGGAGTACCCAATGCGTGGCAATCTCCAACAATTTCGACTCGTTAAGGTCAGAACCTTCACCTGCAATTTCTGCAACAAAGAGAAAAAGTCAAAGCTGGTAGCCACGGAAGATGGGAACTGGGGAAATCTTATATGTAATGGTTGTTATGGTTTCGTTCTCAAGGAGAGTTCATCCCAACCCCTTCACTAGTCGGGAGCTGTCCTAGGTGGTGTGGTTGTCCCTCGAGTGGCGTGGGATCCGTCCCTCGACTTGCCAAAGCCTGTCTTTCATTCTAGATGTATTGGGAAGGGATTCAGCTTCCTTTATCGTCCTGGGTAGTTGTATTGGTGTTTTGAGAGTTTTAGGGTTGGGACCATTTGGTCGCCATGAACGTGTCTGTAAGTCGTCAATAGTAGGAGCGACGGCACAATATGCATGACCAGGTAATCTTGTCTCATTCACCGCTTTGCCTTGTGTCCTAAGCGACCGCCGCCGTGATCTGACAACCGGCCGTGCACACATGAAGCCATATCGTGCCATCCCGTTCTTACCTCTCTCCTCGCCTGCTTTGCCTTGCACTTTCCACGTCCAACACGGCAAAGCCATGCGATTGAACGGCCGAGGCGCTGCGTTGGTGTCTTGCGGCTGTCTGGGCGTCCTGACGCATCCGTTATTGTCCCTCGTACCCTTCTGACTCCTACTGCTGTTGCACAACACCGGCGAGACTTTTGTCATCGCCCACGAAGTTGCCGCTCCCGTCTACAGTGAGGCATGCGGATATCTCGACATCAATGGGCCGTGGATGGCCATTTCCGTCGATCATGGGAATGCCACATTCTGCAGTCACAGCTTCGGCGATGGCACCGGCCTGCTCGGCTGCCGACCCAGCAATATCGACGATATTGTTGACCTGGCGGACAGTTGTGGACGTGTCAATGCGAATGCGAAACGCGTAGTCGTGGTTGGCTAGAGCCGCCTGAGGTGCGACGGCGCTGACTGGCCCAGGGTATCGTCGTGGCTGGCCGGAGTATGGTGGTGGGACGTAGTTCGCCATTGTGGGTTGCAGAGTAGCACAGAACGCGTCGTTGTGAATCGGATAGGTTCAGAAGATTGGTCCTTCTGTAGGAAGCTGAGCTGGATGCTGCAAGGGGTGGGCTTTGACTCTTTATCCGAACGCCGCACTGTACATCAATCTTGAATATCTTTAGTATTGTTGTCTGAGTATTGTCTATTGAAGCCCCAATACGGCAATGTGCTCGCTATTGTCCCTATAGAACACAAGTCGCGTTCCCGCAGCCTGTCCAATCGCGCCCGACGAGCTCCCACACCACCTGGAGCCGGCACCATTGTCCCATGGCCAGCCTTACGGTCCCCGCATTCAAGGCCCCATGAATGTGTTCAGTGCTTCGACAATCTTCAGCACAGATTGTTTGAAACGAGCGTGGGCCAAGGTCCACAGCCCTCTCGCCCCCGCGGCGTAGAGGCGATTACCGACGGCTGTGCCAGTCAATTGGCCCGCAAACGCACACGCCATGTAGGCCGTGTTGACGCGGTTTCTGGCCTTGGGGTTGATGGAGAAAATGGACGAACGATTGGCGACTTGGGCGATCTGAACCCCGACGTCGATGCCGATGGCCTGCAGGATGGGTCCTGCGACGGTAAAGGTGCCGGTGAAGGTGCCAAAGATGATGCCGGCCAGCATGACCATCTGCAGCAGGAGGATGGAGAACAGCGGGACGAATCGATCAATGATACGGCCGTACAAGGGGACAGACACCAATGCGACAATGTTGAGCAGCGAGAACAGGCCCACCACGAGAGACGAATACTCGTATGGTGGCGAGACGAGCAGAAAGGTGACCGTCGTCCAGAACGAGGTGAAGCAGCTGCTCATGGTGAAGGCCATGGCGCACGCCTGGATCAGCACGGGTTCCGTGAACATCATCTTGGGGATCGACCACAGTGCCCTGAGGTAGTGGAGGCTGTCTGGGTTGGTGGCAGGGTAGTCTGGCATGAAGAGGTAGAGCATCAGGCCGAGCACGTACTGCGCTCCGCAGGCGAGCCAGTAAATGTTCCTCCAGGCTGTGTAGTTGGCTACGACGCCGGAGAGCAGCCGGGCGACCAGCATGCCCAGTAGGAGTCCGGACGTGACGATGGACAAGTTGGCGCCTTTTCGTTCAAGGGGCGCAAAGTCACCAACAAGAGGGATCATGAGCTAAGGGGTCACTGTTGTCGCGCCGCAGATAAAGGAGATGGCATGAAAGGTTGTGAAGGATATCGTGACGCACAGGGCGATCCACTAGGGTTCGGTCAGCATCGCGTTCCTGATGCTGCGTTGGGAGATGGTACCAATGTGGCTGTCAGCAGGACGAGGGCAAGGATGAAGGCCCGTCGCTCGACCATGTCACCCAGGGGCAGAATGAAGATCAAGCCAGCAGCGTACCCAGCTTGAAGCAGAGTAGGCACTTGAGAGGACTGCTCATAGGTGACGTCAAATGTGACGGCGATTTTGTCCAGGATTGGCTGGTTGTAGTACAATTTCGCAACGGCCAAGGTGGCAGACTATGACTGTGTAAGCTCGTTGCTTGTCTCAGGGGTAAAGGGGCATTCACCAATGCGTACAAGACACACAAGCCGGTGGTGAAGGCGGGCGGTGAGATCATGTTCCATCGGCAGTTAGGCGGCGTCAAGAGGCGACGCCAATACGTGTCGTACTTGCTAAGGCCATCATCGGTAGGGATCTCCTCTTGAATCTGAATGCGGTTGCCGGACGGTGGCTTCTTCTCGCTCGTGTCGCCATGGCAGTCGACAGACGCGCCTGGCACGACGTCGCCCGCAGACCCCTCTCGGCTGGCTGCAGTATCGCGCTCACCCATGCCTCTGGCGCATGTCACGGGATGACAGGCGATGCTGGCGCGGGTCCAAGTTGACAGACATGGCGCGAGACGGCGGAGCGTTGATGTCGACGAGCAGCGAGATCGGTGATGGATGACCCCCGGGATTTTGCTCGAGAGGCGGCGAGGCCCGCGCGCGAGTGGTTCGTGGATATGAGGAAACTTGTTGATTCCAGTCATTGCCATTGGCTGGGAATTTTGTCCGGAATTAACCAGCACTTATTCGGCAGTCGGTGATACCTAGAGGCTAATTAGATGTGCCCCGGGCTTGCGGCACGGACCTGATATTTAGAGAACAGCAGTCCAGCATTTACTGGACGACCTCGCGAATCACAGGTTATTTTCACGTTTGGTCTGTGCCAGGTGTTCCTCGGTCTCTTATGGTGAGAATCACAGCTTGCAGAGCACCGGATCTTGACGGTTCTGTTGTGTACGCAGTCATGCTGTTAAAACTGAAACTAATCAATGTCACTTATGACAGCACAAACGATGCGGATTAAACCTCCTGATACCACATTAGTCTCGTGAAAAAGTGCATATAACAACAGCCGTCGACACTGACTCAATTTCTTAGTTTTCGAGTCTTATCTCAAGCGTGGTTTGCGAACATCGTCCTTTGTGCGATGATGTTCAGGGTAGGTGGCTTTGCGAAGCAGCGGTCGACTGGAATTTCATCGAAACACCAAATCTCCGACCATTGCTTTGTCCAGATCTTGGCATTTAGGCTGGGCGTCGCGAGCGTTGCCCGCGAGCACATGGCGCTAAACTGCTTCTGAATTCAATGTCCATCAGCCGCCTGGCGCTGCATCTTGGCAGCCGACATCCTTGTCTGCCTGAGCGTAGGGCGGCGCAGCTGTGATGGGAGCTGAAAAATCACAAGTCATCTCGCACTTGTGCGGCTGATCAGCGATCATGCATGTGTGTGTCTTTGGAAATTGATTAATTCTGCCTTGCGGCTCCTCACGGTCTTTACAATCTTATCCCTCCTTTCCCAAAGTTCATGTTCTGATTCTGCGCTGGCTCCAGTCTTCAGCCCAACAACTCTCAACTTGCGCGTCGAACATTGCTCTGGTGCCCCCTTTTGCTCGTTCACGATGGATCCGTCACAGCAGCCTCAACAGGGGCAGTTCTCGCAGTATCAGCAGCAGCAGCAACAGTACCAATACCAACCAGCCATGGAAGGCGTCAAACCGCCGCCGCCCCATGTCTCGCCCCGGAACATTTGGCTCTCCAAGGTCATTTTCCGCATCCTGTCTGCCATCTTCTCGATTGTCATCATCGGCCTCTTGGCCTACATTGGCACCGAGGGGTATGACGGCTATTACTACGGCACAAACCCACTTGCCGTCATGCTGCCCCCAGTACGTTCTGCGTTCATGCTCACTGTCGAGTCTGGTCGAGCTACCTGCTAATTGCATGAAACATCAGGCTTGCGCTGGCCTCGTCTGGGATCTGGGCGAGCTGATCGCTGTCCTCGTACGCGGTGGCCACCGTGGTACGCACCCGGGAGCTGTCGTCGCCCTGGACCTGATCCTGTGGCTCGCGTTCGTCGTGACCGTCGTCGTCTTCGCGCTGGTGTACGCGGAAGACGACTACTACTACTGGTACGAGTACGACGAAATCATCATCACAAACCGTGTCATCGTGGCCTTTGGAAGCATCGAAGTGTGAGTGACTTTGTTGGCGGACAAAACATGGAACCATGCGCGCAGCGACGGACTGACACGACCACCTAGTGCCATCCATCTCCTCCTCTTCATCTTTGGCTGCTACGAGACGAGCATCCGCAACAGAATGATGCCGCCTGTCGTGTACATCCCAGGTCCCATGGGCTACGGTATGCCACCGCCGAGCCAGCAACCCCAGCACTTCAGCCAGTACGGCGCCCACGCACCGGGGCAGCCCATCATGCTCCCTGTCGGCCAAGCGCCTCCCGCTGGCTACGTGGCATACTCACACGGACCTCAGGATGGCCCTGCCAGCAAGCAGTACGACGCATCGACTGTCTCTCCTCTGCCACAGGAGCCCTCGCCCATTCACACGACCCCCACGCCAGCACGTGGTGACTGCAGGGACTCACACCAACCGGTCGAGGTGTCGGGTCACTCCAACGTCGGCGCATAATCACTGGAAGATCGGTTCTCTGTAGACTTACAATAAAACTGCCACGTATTTGCTAGCTAATTGTATGATATCGTGTTTCAAAGAGCGCTTAGAGTGAGGAAGAAGGCATGTGTGTGTTTGCTCTTGCTGCTCTGTTTGGACACCATGGAGACGTAATACTCAGTCACCGCATCTCACGTTGGCCTCGCGGAATAGAATTCATCTGTTCTCGTCATGCCTCACTTTACCTCACTTTGGCCTTTGTTGAATGAACAATAGTCACCTGGCATGGCTTCAATGTTCACGCCTCACGCCCCAACTGTTGTTCTCACCTTCTCTTCTCCTCGCCTTTCTCTTCTTACCCTCGCTTCTCCTACTTTTGGACCCTGGACCTCTCCCCTATTTCTACTCTCTCATCGATCAGTGACCTCTACAATAACTCATTCATATCATCGCCGTCTCAAGCTTCAACATGCCAGCCAAGGATCGACCTCAGCGCTCGGCGACGGCCAAAGGCATCAAGAAGAACAAGACAACCCTCGTGGTCGGACTCGACTTTGGAACCACGTAGGTCACCCTTCCAGTGGAATCTCTTTATCGCTGATCAAGACTTTTTGCAGTTTCTCTGGCGTTGCATACGCCCTCTCGACAAATCCTCAGCAAATAAGCATCGTATCGCGTTGGAAGGGCGAACTGTACTATCAGACCAAGGACAAACAAAAGGTGCCCAGGGTTATTGCGTATGATAAGTCTGGTCAGCCCATCGCCTGGGGCTATGAGATTCAATACTCGCACACGCCACTCAAGTGGCTCAAACTACTCCTCGTGGAGGAGGACGAATTGCCATCACACCTATCCAGCTCAGCCGAGTACAAGTCATTGAAGAAGCAGATTAAGGCGTTGCAGAAAAGCCCCGTCACTATCATCGGCGACTATCTTCGCCTCCTTTGGGCCCACGCCTGGAGTCAGATCAAGGCGGCCCTAGGGGAGTCGTTTTTCGAAGCTTGCAAAATCAAGATTGTCGTTACCCTCCCTGGTACGAGCGTCTCGACAATGTCCTTGATCGTCCGCAAGAGCACAGGTAGGCACCATTCATGGCTGCGTGCGTAGCGGCTCATGAACTCGGGCCGCCTGTTCTCGTCGACGAACATACCCAGCTGCTCTGTTAGAGACTTCCAAAAGCCATTGGAGCGCTCCTGCTTCGCCTTCCCCTTGTCGCTCAGGTTGATAGGTCGAAAGTGCAAGTCGGGATCAAAGTTGATATCATGGCGCAATTTCGAGTTTTGCACAATGTGCACCACGTCGAGATCCGATAGGGTAGCCTTAGTGATGGGTGGCCCGAAGGGGAGGTTGATGCCGCCACTTGAACTGCCAGCCTTTGCTTTTGCACTATTCGACCACTTGCTTCCTGCAGACCGTGTCGCGGATTTTGAGGGCCTGTAGACGTGCGTTCCGTTTGTGTCGCGTGAAATAAGTCAGATCTTCTGGATTTGGTTTCGCTCGGCGACGAGCTCAGGCTGGTCGACTGGTCGACTGGTATGGACACGGTCGGTGTGCTGGCCGAAGAGCTCATCGACTGTGTTGCCATGTCTTCCGAGTCGGCTCGAGGCGAGTCGACCCCCGGTGTTTCTGTTTCGGCGCCCTCCATCGGCACTCTCCCGTCGTGCATCGTGCCGGTGCTTTGGGGTTTTGTGTCTTGCCTCGCGGTGTCTGCGTCTGCGTCTACGGCACAAACAGACGAAGTGCGTCGCCTAGAATGTCCATCGACTGAGAATGCTCCTGAGTCGAGCCTCAAATTGCCTTATCCGGAACACTGGACAGGTGACCGTTCGCGAGCCACATATGATTAGAAGCGATTCGAGGAGAGAGTGGGAGATGAATCATAGGCCGGTAAGTGACGAGAAGAAAGGTATGTCATATGACGATGAGTGTAACGGCTACGCCAAATTGGTTGCGCCAAGGGCAAAATATCAGACATTGATCGAATGAGGAGCGATCAATACAGGCGAAATAGCTGCTTATAGGGGGTTACGGGGACAGGACCGTACCAATGAGGGAGCGCATCACATATCAACAAAGAAAGGGATGGAAGAAGAGTCAAAGCGACATCGAGGCAGTCAGCTTGCCCTTACACTTACGACCCCTGAAGTGAGGTCTATGCTCTGGTGGAATCTCCGTGGAAACTTCGACGGCGTTTGGCCTAGCAGCTACGCAGGCGTCTCGCAGCGTGTGGTTGATTTTCCTATAAACTCAGGGCGTATCCGCGTAAGCTAATACCCGGTGCCCCATTATTATGACAGCAGGCCAGGCTAATGCGCCTGGTGACAACCAATGAAGGGAGAGTATAGCCGAAGAACAGCCGGCCGAGCGAATCTCCTCTCGCAACATCACATCATCGGCAACACAGTCCCACGACACCAGTACCTTTTGGCCTGTGCTACCTGACGGGCGTTTCTTCCCACCACGATTGAAACACGGTCGGAGCGGAACTTGGAGACGCGATCCACCTCTACCGTTATCTTGCCACGATGTCTCAACGGGAAATCGAGCAGCTAAGGCGTGAGCTTAAACGAGAGCGGCGCGAGAAGGAGGAGGCAAAGGCACGGGAAGAGGAGGCAAAGGCACGGGAAGAGCAAGAGCGGCGCAAAACACAGAAGACAACACTGCCTGAATATCTGTACAACTGCCACTTCGACCTTTACGAGAAGCTCGAGCTTGCCGGCAAGCCTAAATCTTCGACGGGATATACGAAAGTTGAGGGGAAATGTTATCCCAAGTGGCTTCGGCCGTGGGACGAGTTCACGAACACTCAGCACCAACGACTTTTTGAGCAGATATGGACTATCTGTGGTGAAAGACGCCTCTTTCATCAACAAAGTACGACCGACGACCTGGGCAGATCTATAATTCGCAAGATAGCAGGCAACGAGAACGCAATTGACTACTTTGAGAAGCTTGTAGTAGAGGATCCTACTTGGGAAATTCTCAGCCCTTTTTTGAACGAAGATATGCGCCGGATATACGGAGCTACTAGCCTGCGATTCAGCAACAACATCCGCGACTTCACGCATTCGAGCGACAGCAGCCATCTTGGAGACGATGCGATCGAGGAAAGACAGCCGAGACGGCGTCGCACAGGGCCGAACAAACGAGTCGCGTCCGAGCAAAGAGTCAAGCCTTCGTTTGCGAAGCCGGACGGAGGTGGTATCCGTACGTACCTCGACGGGAACGAGACCCTTGCTTTTGTCTCCGACTACAAGGCAGCCCACAAGGTGGCAGTAAGGCATGTCAAGGCGACTGTCGCGAAGGAGAAACTGTTTATGGAGGTCACCCAGCGTATCAATGGCGATAAATCGAAGAACAACGTGCAGCTGCGGGAGCAAGAGGATGCAGAAGCATTGATAGCCATGGCGTTGACGCAGGTGTTCGACTATATGATCCGGTACGGAGTTGCCTATGGCTACGTAGCTGCCGGCAAGTGCTTGCTGTTTCTTCACGTCGACCGATCTGACCTGCAAACGTTGTACTGCCGTCCATGCGTGCCAGGCGAAGATGTGGGGGAGGCATCAGCGGGACCTTGGGAAACCCGTGCATGCTACACCGCAGTAGCCCAACTGACCAGCTTCTGCCTGTTGAGCCTCCGACTCGAAGCTCTTCAGGGAGCCCGGCTCGATTCAGCGTTGCAGATAGCCGAGGCAACACTGAGAAAATGGAGGGAGCCGTACGAGGGCGCGGCGGGTCTGCTGGATGCAGTCGACATGGCTTCACACCCTGCCTCCTTATCCCCAACAACGGAAGGCTCGGAATTCAAGTCTAGTGCACGACCCGCCAGCCGAGATTTCTCGTTCCGGTCGAGGTCGTCCTGCCGTGGACCGCCAGTCTTCGACAGGAAGGATGATGATGAGGAGGACGGCGATGATGGGCCCTACGGCGACCCGTTTGGGCCCCCAATGCGGACGGAGACGGGCAAGCGGAAAGGAGGGCCCCCGAGCGGCAGCTCAGGGGAGGAGGATGTTGATGTGGCAGAGCCGGCCCCGTCCAAACAGTACTGCACACAGGCTTGTCTCCTGGGGCTCAAAAAGCGCTGGGATCTCGACTACTATTGCCCCAACGTTTTCTGGCATCGCTCTGCAGGTTGCCGACACCATCCCATCGATGCCGACAAGTTTACGCGTCTGGTGGCTAAGCAACTAGAGAACCCCTACCGATATTGCGAGGCCTTGAATAGCTGGGGCAAGGCGGGGTCGACAGGCGTTCTCTTCAAGGTGGAGCTGGTGCCGTATGGGTACACATTGGTCTGCAAGGGAACGGTGTCGGGTCATTTACAAACCCTCGAACACGAGAGCCGCATCTATGCACACCTTGATGAGCTTCAGGGTGACTTTGTTCCCGTACATCTAGGACTAGTCCATCTGAATTGGGGCTACATTCTCCCCGGCGGAGCCCGGGTTGTCGACATGATGCTTATGTCGTGGGGAGGGGACACGGTGAAGAGCGCCAAACTCGGCGAGGTAGACCTCGAGAAGGAAGTACGACGTGCCTCGCAAGCTATATGGGCTAGAGGCGTGGTTCATGGCGATGAGCACGACAACAACCGACTTTGGAATAATCAATGCGGGCGCGTGATGCTTGTTGACTTTGACCACGCGAAGCTTTGGCGGACGCCCAAGCACAAGCGACTTGTGGAGCTGTCTGGGAATGAGAGAAAACGCAAACGAAATGGTTCTCGGCACCACGAGCTGAAGGGTGGCCTCTTGCGAAACCAACAGCAGTGCGTGTAGATTATATTCGACTATTTCCCGGCCAGACAGCCGCAGCACTTATTATTGTCGACAGCACTTCAACCTTGAAGTGGCCTTTTGGCAATTACAAAGGTCCTCAGTCTTCCTCTCTATAGCTTCCTATCCTATGTTTCGAGGAGGGTTAGACCACCGAAGTGAACTACGATATCCTGCAGCTCCAAGCCAGGCTACTATCATAGGACAATCATCCCAGTCCCAAGCCTCCGTCATAGAAAGCCGGAGACCGTAGAATGAGCGTCCATCACACTACGTGCACCGCAGGCAGCGATAGCGCCGAGCGAGAGAATAAAATCGTGACGCGCGATGATAGAGCCCAAACACCCTCATACCACGCTCGCCGTGATGCATTTGTCAAGTGGATGAGAGAGATGGACACGGCCTACAGGTTCAGAATTGCGAAAATCTCTTTCGAGTAAACTTCACTACTCCAGTGTGAATACCCGAGGAACTCCGGGACTCAAATTCGTACTGTCTCGTTAGACCTGAAGCGGCACAATGTGAGCATGAACGAAGACGGTGAGGTAGTAGATAGACGATGGCCGTGTCTTGCTTCACAACACTAACCCAAATGATCACGAAATCGAATACTGCGAATCAACCAATGCCATCCATATCTCGAAAGCAGTGCAAGGCAACACTAACTGATCATAAGCACCACTTCAAAAGCAGCCCCATTCTCCTTTAAATTCTACTACGACCACTCGAATATCCTAAAACTCAGCTCTCTGTGACTGCACTTAGCGTAAAACCCTAGCATGAGGACATCACTATTCCATTACTCCAATTCACCCACAACAGGCTGATCAAACTCATCGTACCAAGGTGACTGCACCTTGCTTTTCGCTTTGCCATCGTAGCTCGTACTCTGGGACAAATTGACTCGTTGGATCGTAGCTTTCCTGACCACGTACCTCCAAAAACCAGACTCGTCAGGTTTACAGATTGTAGCAGCGTAGACTGTCTATAGCAAATTACTCACCTCGTGTGAGGAAACCGAATGGCGTAGTTTGACACACTAAGACGGGGGTAACAGTAAGCTTATATATCCGGAGAGAGTGGCATTCGCCACTGGGCACCCTCGGCCAATTGACGTCGAGATATCCGCATGCCTCAGTATAGACGGCAGCGGCAGCTTCGTCAGAAGAACGGCAGGGACTGCAGTAACGGGAGAGAGACGGAGAGGATAGGATGAGCATCAATTCAACGCAGCCGCCGTGGCAAAAATGGCACCGACCTACCCTAGACAACGCTCCGCAGACCAGCACAAGGGTGGAAAGTTGCATCGCAAATGTGGATAAAATCACAGACTCGGCTAGGTGCTATCCAATTCTCAGCGCGGCGCGTCGATCGTCTCGTCTCGCTGCCTGACCTTTCTCCGCTACAGATCTGGTTGTCGGTCGAGACGAGGAACTGACCACAGTTGGGATCGACTTGGATGTTCTGCAGACGGTGGGTTGCAGGGCTAAGCCACCTTCCGCTAGCGCCTGGCTCCGCACCAGCGGGTCCAAGTGGGGCAGCGCCTATGGGGAGGAAATTAACGGCAGCCAGTGATAAACACATACTGCCAGACGAGTTGGTTTCTTGATTTTCACTTCCTTTCCAGCTCCTTTTGATTGCCTCACATGCGCATTGGTCGACGACGAGTCTGTTCTACTGCACTGCCCCGGAAATTCTATGATAGCAACGGCAAGCCGTCTGGATAGTTTGCTCAAAACCGTACGCTCGCGTGAGGAAGCGGACCGCGCGAGCCGAGCCCAGGCTGAACAAGAGCTTGCGAGACTCGATGAGCGCCTCGCCAAGCACAGTATCATCAAGTCGAAGCTTGAGAACCATTTGGCAACCAAGTCGCAACTCAGCTCTGATATTCAGCAGCTAAAAGAGGACATACAGAAGCAGCGGGAACCGTACGGAGATCTTTCTGATTACGCTCGGTTGGACGAATTCATCAAGAATGTGTGGCCTCTTACCCAGGCTTTACGGTCGCAGCAGGAGGAGAAGTTCAAGTGCCTGCGCGACCTAGAAAGCAGAGAACCAGCACTTCTGGATAAGATTGGCGCGGAGGACATTTATCGCCATGAATCCACGCCATCCTACGATAGGAATTACCCAGCAGATCGCCACGAAGATAGAGCTGCTTCGCATGATAATAGTGACCGTCCGGACCCCGTTTCCGAGCCTAGCCCAGACGCCTCTTCTCGCTCACTCGAAACTTTATCCGGACGCCAAACAAAGGTGATGGTTCTGTTACGAGTGCCGATGACGACTAACGCGTATCCATAGAAACGTCGTATATCCCAACTGAAGGATAACCCACGGAAAGCTACCCGGTGCGAGGAAGAACGTATAATCGATATTCACAAATTCTTCCAAAACGGTAAGAGCAAACACAAGATCTTCAGGGTAAATAGCGATAAGAACTAGTGGATTATGTGGTGCAAGGAACATAGCATAACCTTCAATACCAAGCAACCGCTTAAAGGTACTGGCAAGCATATATTTACCGACCAGCATAGGTTCGCGAAGAAGTCGAACGAGATAGCCCTCGCGCTTCTGGGTTATAAGGTGCTCAATTATACTCCTCAGCTAATAGAGGAGAACAACCGCGCTATAGACGCCGATTTAGAAGCCCGCGAGCCTCACTTGCCATGCAGAAGCGGGCGTCGGAGCACGATATCTGGCGGTGACGGTGACGATACCGAAGCCGACTTTGTTCCAAAGAGACACATAAAGAGGTCTATTCAGCGTAGGACTGAAGCTATGTCGCAGCCTATATTCGATCCCAAACCAGGCCAGATTTACCTTACTTAGGTATACCAGAACATAATAGCGGCAGTATGTCTGTCACTCCCGTCTAGTGTCGAAGGTCCTGGCATTACCGGGCTATAGGCACAGACAGAGGATCTCGAGAAGGAGATAGCAACCGACCCTCCGATATACTATAAGAATAAAAATAGCGAATTTGTGTGGGCCAAGGACTACAAAGGCGATAGACCTAAGATTCGGGAGCGGCAATATCCTGTTATCCTAATCAATAATCTTAATATAAAGAAATAAACGCGGGTATAGATTCTAGCAGTAGATCTCCAGGAAGTCGAGGAGACTGATCCGACTTTATAATCCGTCGCTAACCGCAGTGCTATTCTCAGGGAGCTACAAAGACGAGAGAACCTAGAACAAGACAAGAGTAGGCCCGCCGCAGGGATGAACAGGCCTGGTGGTGTTGCTCCTGGTAGCGATTTCTCGGCATATTACTCTCCCGCAACAAGCCATAGGATACCAGCGAACGATCAAGCAAGAGGTTCCGTGGTTACGGAAGGCGTGAAAGGGGCGGAAGGTGCTTAAGGCCAGGACTAAGTCAGCCCAAACGCCACGGACGATACGGAGAAGACTTCGTATGCCCAAGAGGCGAACCAAAGCATCCTAGAAATAGCTAACAATTCTTATTATAGAGTAGCCACAGAAGCTACCGTAGAGCCGAGCCGAGCCAGAGAACAGCCTACACCAGAGCAATGCCGCGGCTCACGAGAAATTTTACCTTCAGTGACGTTAGGTGTTAAGCCAGAAACGGATATCCTTCTTTATGAGGCGCAAGGGGCGGAAATATAGCACGAAAATGGCATGGTTACTGGCAAGTGTGGTTCTATTAGTTCCGAAGCCTTAGGTGGTGAGAACGAAAAGATCACCCCGATAAGCAAAGCTTCGATGGACGTGAGAGACTTATTAAATAACCCGGCGGTCCTAATGTCTCCTACGAACGTCGCCTAAGACTTCCTTCGGAACATAGCCCGAGACGCTCGACCTTCATCCGAGACGGAGCTGGGTTACCACACCCCTGGGCGGGTCGGACCCGTCAGCGATAGCGGTGCCGCGTTCACAAACGTCAGACATATAAATGGGTTCTATGCGAGTAACTGGCCAGATCGCAGAGCAGAAGAAAAGCACATGCACCATCAGATAAGGAGTTCAGCCGCAGCCGCAACGCCACGTCATCTAAGAACTGGCTTCCAAGCTGTTAATGGCCGCCAGGAAGAGTCATAAGGAGCCCCACGCCACGTTCAGATTGCTCGCCTGAGACTAGCAGGCAAGGTCTGTTTTTAATCAATTATCCATTCTCAGAGCTTTATATTTAAGAACCGGAAGATTCCTTTTAGAATTAAGGCATCCGCCGGGCACCAGAACATTATAAGTGAGAGTCCCTCAAGCGACGCAATCTTGAGTCTCGGTCGAATTCGAATCAGGCATGGATATAAGGAAGACTGCAAAAGATATATAGACTTGGGGAGGGATTTTTACATTTCTGTCATTTACTCTTGCTTCACTCGCTTGTTAGCGGTACTACCATATAAGGGAATCTCCTGACTAACCTTCCTTTTTGATAAACTTTGAGGGATATTATTAAGCTGCTAAGACGCAGCAGCTGGTACTAGAATCTCTTGCCGGTTGATGAGACTGTCTGTATATATACCTGCGCCAGACACTTCGCTATCGCTGGGAGAGGCAGTCCTCGACCTATTAAACATGGTCTCAAAACCACGCAGCCTCCTAGACCAATATTGCTCCTCCTGTCCTCTATTTTTAGGTATCCTAAGGCAGCTTTGGGCTATTCTCTGCAGCTCCTTAAAGCTGACGGCATCCTGAAGTGAGCGGTCCTCGTGAATTTTTAATACTCGCGGAAATCGTAGAGCATAGTACCTAGTGTTCGCGGGCTTATTAAAGCCAGCCCCGACCACTTCTACGATAAACGGATACTTAAATAGGTCCATAGGCTGTAATTTTCGTGCGGGCTCGACGAAGATATCGAACTCCTCTATAGAGGCCGTGAATAGTACCCGGCCGAAGTAGCCATAGAGATTAAGGTATGTGATATTCTCTTTCGAGATGCTATATCTATTAATTATATTAATTATGCGGAATCGCGGCTTTATATCGAAGCGGCGCACTTCGTCCTTATTCTTAATATAGCCGATATAGAATGACGT